TCTCCCCAGGCCTCCTCAAGAGAGCCAAGTTGGCTTCCAACCCCTCGGAGTCGGCGAGCTTGTGGTCGCTGCGGCCGCCGGGCCCGCCGGCTGGGGGCCCCTGGTGCTGCTGCTGGGGGTAGGGCGGGGGGCGCTGCCGGCCTCCGCGGGTCCCCGCCGCCAGGAGGGCTTCGGGCCGCCTGGCATCTTGCCGCCTTTCGGGCCCTGCGGGCGGCGGGGTCGGGCTGGGGCCAGGCCCCGTAGGGGCGCCGGAGGTCGGAGGAGTAGCAGGCGGTGCCGAGCCGGAGGCCGGCGGAGCGCTGCCCACTCCGGGAGCCGGGCCGGGTCCCTGAGGAACGACGGGCTTGGACGAGTCCTGTGGCGGCGGAGGCTGCTGATGCGGCGGCTGATGTGGTGGCGGCTGAAGCGGCGGCGGCGGCTGCTGTGGTGGCGGCTGCTGCGGCGGTGGCTGCTGCTGTTGCTGGTGGGGAGGCGGTGGCGGGATCGGGGGCTCGGGGCCACCCTGGCCCGGGCCGGGACCCATGGGTCCGCGGTTCTGATTGAGGCCCATGCCGGGTGGCGGGGAGCGGAAGTCGTGGAGGCCGCCGCGGCCACCGCCTCCTCCGCGCCGGTGGAAGCCGCCACCGCCACCGCCACGGCTCCGGAACCGGTCCCGAGACATGTCTGTGATCAAGGGGCGGTCGAGGCAGACCCGGAGGAGACGCTCAGGGACCGTGGAGGCCACCTTGCTTCACACAAGATGGCGGATGACACAGGCGGCGCGCCGCCTTTGTCCTCCTCTTATATAGGCCAGCTGGCATGGCCCCGCCTACCTCTCGATCGGTAGCTCCAATAGCCAATTGCAAGTACGGTACTTGATGACACTAAGTTACGGAGCGCTAATCTTTCCGATTGGCTTCCGGATGAGAGGAGGGAGACCTGGGGGGGCGCTGAAGTTTCCAGTTGGCCAATGAGCGGAAAAGGAGTTGGCTGTAGGCCACTGTGATTTGCTGTGAGAAATTTGAATGGGTTCGCCAGAGCAATTTTCCCTGATAGCCAAGGCCCTATCAGCTCCTGGGGAGAGATGTTAGAGGACCCTTTTCTTTCTTGATTACCCCCAAGAGCTGCCTGCCGGTATTCTTGCCTGGAAAGAACAGATGTTCTCCGGTTCAAAAGCATAAATTACTTGTACCTACTACCTACTCTACCTTGCGCTGGGCCAATTAAATTAGAGAAATAAAATCTTACCGATTTCACACACACAATCTTATTGATTTCATTTTGGAACCTCGCCGGAGTTACAGGTTTGTTTTAGCAGTATAAACTTTGGAATAGGCTTAAGTTAGTGCACTCTTTGTTCAAAAAGAAAAGAAGTTTGACTGTGTACATGCGTGTGTATAGACTAGTAATTTACAAACATAAATCACGGAAGGAAGATAATATTTTCTTTAATTCCACTGGCGCTGGGGCGTCTGCCTTCGGCTCAGGTCATGATCCCAGGGTGCTGGGATTGAGCCCCGCATTTGGCTCCCTGCTCAGCGGGGAGTCCGCTTCTCCCTCTCTCTCTGCCCCATCCCCCTGCTTGTGCTCTCTCTCCCAAATAAATAAATAAATAAATAAATAAATAAATAAATAAAATTAAAAAAAAAAAATTCCACTAGCACTCAACACTTCCTGAACAGATTAAGATACTTTAAAATTACAATGTTAAAATATCTATATGGAATCAAACAATGGGCAGTATCCTTACTTGAAACTCTCTAACTTTTAAGTACCCTAGCCATGTCCCCTAATACCCCTCCAAGTTACTGTCATCTATGGACCTTTTGATGGATCATTCCTTCCTCAATTAATACTAGCTCATGGCTCATTGTCTTCCTTTCCATCTCTACTTCTGCTCATCATTCAACATCTATTTGGATGACTATCCAATACTCTGTCAAATTCTTTACCTCCAACAATCTCCCCTTCCATCCTATAATACCCACCCAACCTCATCATAGTCACCCTGTGTTTTTTATTGCTAGTAACTACACCATCTCTAAAATCTCCTTTCAAGCATCTCAACTGTCTGTCTGATCAATAGTAACTCTGATTCTTTGACTTCCTCAAAACCTTCAAATCATTAAATGTATTACTTTTTCACTTTCACATTCCTATATTCATAACTTCTGTCACCAGGCTTAGATGTTATGATTGCTTACAAATACAATTCTTGTTTTTCTCTTTCTCCATTATACTCACCTGGTAAAACCCCAATTCTAGTTGGACCCAACAATTCATTTTCTTAACAAGAGCTGAGGCTTTCACTTTAAATTCTTGACCACAAGTCTCAAAAGGGCATTAGACTTTTTTCTGGCAATCTTACTGAGTCTCACTAGTAAATTCACTTTCCCACTTCCCCACTTCCGGAGATAGTGTATTTCATGCTTTCTCTCTTCAAACTTTGACACCTTCTTCTCTCACTTCACCATAACTAATTCTCCTATTTCTTTGAGAAAGTAAAAATCATCAGAGAGGAACATTCTCATTAGATGGCAAGCCTCAAACCTACTTGTATTTGTACCCATCCTTTCTGTCTTCCTTCCTGATACCATGAAAATGTGTTTTTGCCCCTATCAAAGGGCAGACCCCTCCTCTAGTGCTGTGGATTACCCCGCCACTCCCCACATGCCTTCTCAAGGATTTTTCCTTGCTGTATCATCAATTACTTCTACTGGAACATTACCATCTTAAAAAAAAAAAATAAAACCTTCCCTTCATCCTTTCATCTCATTTCTTCATCCTTTTTTACAAGAAAACTAAAACAAGTTGTCTACACTAGAGGTCTCCATTTCCTCACCTCTATTTCCTCTTAAATCCACCCCAATCTATTGTCCACCCTTCTCCTCTGAAAGGATGCCTTGCCAGGGATGCCAGTGATCCACATGTTGCAAAATCCAATAAACACTTCTCTATAATCATCTCTTTTTACCTGTTAGCGACCTTCCACATAGATGGCCCTCTGTCTTTCATGAAACACTTTTCTCACTGGCTTCTGTGACACCACACTGATGATTTTTCTCCTGTTCCAGGGATCCTTCTCCGTTGCTGACTCCTCCCTCATAGGACTTCTAAATGCTGAGATATTTCAGAGCTCATTTCTAGACACTCTTTAACAACTGTTCTCTCCTTATATAGATAATCTCTTCAAGACCAAATACCATCTAAATGTTAATAATCTTTAAATTTATATTTCCATGGTAGGGTAGGTCTGTCCTCTGAGTTCCCATGTCATATATTCAACTACTTATTAGACCTCTCCCACTTGGAGGTCTCCCTGGCATATCAGATATAGTATATCTAAACTGGAGCTCTTGATTTTATCAGACTAACTTGTTCTTCCCCACAGTCTTCCCCAGCATACTAAATAGCATCACCTAGTTGTTAAAAAACAAGGATTCATCCTCATCATAAAATCCAAAACTCGGTTCTAACCTACAAAGTGTATCATGAATCCATTTACCTCTCTCCATCCCTACCACTATAACCTAATCTTTTTCACCTCCATCTCTCAGCTAAATTACTGGAACCACATTTTAATTTGTCATTTTTCTCTCTTTCTGGGTGCTCTCTAATCCATTTTCCATATGGCAGCTAGGGTGACCTTTTAAGAAATATAATTCAGGGGCGCCTGGGTGGCTCAGTCGGCTGAGTTTCCCACTCTTGATTTCTGCTCTGGTCATGATCTCAGGGTCACAGGATCAGCCCCTCACGGGCTCCCTGCTTAGTGGGGAGTCTGCTCAAGATTTTCTCTTTCCCTCTTTCTGCCCCTCCCCCCGAATAAATAAATAAATCTTTTAAAAAATATTTATTTATTTGAGAGAGAGAGAGAAAGCGCCCTCGTAAGAAAGGGGGGAGGGGCTGAGGGAGAGGGATAAGCAGACTCCACTGAGCAGGGAGCCACCCAGGCACCCTGAATATAAATAAATCTTTTAAAATCCATAATTCAGATGTCATTTTCCTCCTTTATTTAAAGGCCCTACAGTGGCTTCCCATTGCTCCTAGAATAAAATTCAAACACCTTACCAAGTTCTACAAAGCCTGACCTGATCTGACCCGGGTCTGCTTTCCCAGTCTTTTTTTTTTTTTTTTTTTTTAATTTTGTTTTCATTAAGTAAACTCTACCTCCAACATGGCGCTTGAACTCACAATCCGGAGATCAAGAGTTGCATGCCCTACTGAATGAGCCAGCCAGGCGCCCTAACCGTTTTATCTGTCTAGTTCCCTGACAACATCCACTTGTTCTTAGGATTTATCAAGTTACTTTGTCTGGACGCTTTTTGCTTCAGGGTACTTGGACTTGCTGTTTACTCAGTCTTGAAGTTCTTCCCCCCCACCCCACCCCCACAACTTTCTGCAGTTATGGCTTCTTCATTGTTCTGTCTCAGCTTGAATGTCGCCTCAAAAAAGCCTTCCCTGCCAACCACCACATCTAAAATAAGCCTCCGTTACACCATCCTATACATGGTGTCCTGTATAGAATAGCTCTCTTCACACATTGTATTTATCTTGTGTGTTTCTTCACGTGTTTATTGTTGATCTCTGTTAGGCTGGAATTCTGAGCCTGAGGTGTTTTTTGTTTGTTTGTTTGTTTGCTTTTCTGGGAGAGAAAGAGTGAGCATGAGAGAGCACAAGTAGGGGGAGGGGCAGAGGGAGAGAGAAGCAGACTCCTCACTGAGCACGAAGCCCGATGGGACTCGATAGGGGCTCAACCCCGGGGATCCTGAGATCATGACCTGAGCCGCCCAGGCGCCGCAGTTAGACTGGGATTCTGAGTCTGAGTTCTTTAAGGCTGTACCACGGTAGCTAACAGACACTAGCACAGAGATGCTTCATAAATATGTGTTGAATGAATGAATGAAAGCATACCACTTAAAAACAGGCTCTGGTTCCATCTCCAGGGCCTTGTACGAAGATCCTTCATTCTTCTAACACACTCCCTAGGTGGTACGTACTCCTTAGGGAACTTACGTGCTGAGCGGTTTCTCAGTGCTCAGTAAATACTAGCTATTGTTAGGAAAAAATCAAAGACCTCTAAATGCATTGACTATTGAAGACAAAGGGGGCTCAGTAAAAAAGTCTTGTTAGTGTATTCTTGAAAAGGCAAAGAAATTTGTAACACTTTTTTTTTTTTTTTAGAATCTGAACTTTATTTATTTGGGGGCTCCTGGGTCGCTGACTCTGTTAAGCATCTGACTCTTTTTTTTTTTTTTAAGATTTTATTTATTTATTTGAGACAGAGAGAATGAGAGAGACAGAGAGCACACGAGAGGGGGGAGGGTCAGAGGGAGAAGCAGGCTCCCTGCCGAGCAGGGAGCCCGACGTGGGACTCGATCCAGGGACTCCAGGATCATGACCTGAGCCGAAGGCAGTCGCTTAACCAACTGAGCCACCCACGCGCCCCTGACTCTTTTTTTTTTAGCATCCGACTTTTGATTTAGGCTCAGGTCATGATCTCAGGGTTGTGAGATTGAGCCCCGAGTCGGGCTCTGTGCTGGGCGTGGAGCCTGCTTAAGATTCTCTCTCTCTCTGCCCCTCCCCACCCTTTAAAAATAAATAAATAAAATAAAAATGAGTTTTATTTATTTTATTTATTTTTATTTTTTCTTAAGTAGGCTCCATCCCCAGTGTGGAGCCCAATGCAAGACTTAAACTCACAACCCTGAGATAAAGACCTGAGCTGAGATCAAGGGTCAGATGCACCAACTGAACCACCCAGGCACCCCTATTTTATTTATTTATTTATTTATCTATTTATTTAAGATTTTATTTATTTAT